AGAAACACCAGATTTCACACTATATTATGTATAATAAACTTGTTGAAAAAAATAAAACCTTTCCTTGAGATCTGATCTTTCCTAGAAGGCAGGTTTATATTGATACAAGTACACTTAGCAATGAGTATGTCCCAGCCACTTTTAGAAGGGGTAAAATGAACCTGAAACGCATAAATCAGTGAAGGTCCTCAGTAATGCAAAATATGACTGTTGGATTGTTGTCTTTTAAACTCCTTAAAACTTTAATCGGTATTTTGCTCCTTAGTAAGTAATAGATTAGTGCATTACCATAAATACACACAAATCAGTGAAGATACCATCAATTCAGTATATTTAGATTGTTGCAATGTACCTTTACCCATGTGATTCCCTTGTATTAAATTCACACTTCCGCTTTATTTTTAAGTTTTTATTTGGTAACTTGTCTGAAGTAAGTGGTTTCGTTTCTTTTCTTTTCAGCTGACCCCCTGGTTGGAAGTATTGCCACTCAGTATATGACTAACAGAGCAGAGCATGACAGAATGGCCAGACAATGGACCAAAAGATATGCTACATAAATTGGATTTTCGTCAAACTCTTACATTATTCGTCTGTGATGGAAAGAGCTGCTTATGATTTTGAAGGGGTGGGGGGAGGGAGGGTGCTGGTAAAGAGTAGGGTATTTCTATAACAGATTTTATTCAGTCTTTTATTTCCTAAGATTTTGTTGTTGTAACTTAAGGTATCTTGCTACAGTAGACAGCTAGGATTGGGAATAGCATATTTTAAGACTGTAATTAGTTCAGCAATATTAGCTCATATATAGTACCGAGAAGAATGTAAACTTCTTAGACTTCTTTGGTTTTCAGTTTGCTTGCAATATGTAAAAGATTAAAACAGCTTAATTTTGTACAGGTACATATGTTGACATTTATGTAAAAGTCCTTTCAAGACTCTACACACTGTTTTTGCTTTTTGTTTTGTTTTGGGTTTAGGGGTTTATTTTGTTCTCGGGTTTTTTTGTTTGGGGTTTTTTTTGTTTTGTTTTGTTTTGGGTTTTTTTGTAAAAAGATGTCGGGATTGTTTTCCCCTATGGAGGGCACATTGGTATTTAACAAATCCTTTTTAAAGACTGTCATCTCATGATCTGTGATACGGAGAGGTGGATATATGGCCTCATATATGAAATGAGAAGTAGTTAATGTATTATTTTATAAGCCAATCTATCTTTGTGAAAAGAATAAAGGGTTTAATCAGGACTGACGGTAACCTGTAGTGAAATACCTTAAGCTGTTTAACTGTAAGGTGTGGAATAGGAGTCACTCAGTGGATTGGTTGTATGTTGTGGGCTACTTAAGTCTGCATTTGTTACTGTGCTAATAAAAAGATGTTTAAAAAAAAAGAAGAAGGAAATATTTCTGCTTAGTGCCTTGCTTTGTCATTTTGCCAGAACAGTGTCTCCCAGTATGCTTTGAGGATTACAGTATGGATAAGGACAACGGAGATCTGCAGGTGAGTGCACTGACTGCTGCTATTTTGGGAAGACACTTCTGGACAAGCATACAATGAATGACAGCGTAAGACTTTTTCAACTGTTTACTGTATAAGGGTTGCACAGGCTGGCACAGCCCCTGAGGAGGTAACCTGCCACAGACAGAGTCCATGCTAGTTACTTTTTAGCTTAAGTTTTCACAGCATTGGCTTTTCAGGACTGGCACGTTATTTGAAAGTGCAACTGGAAAAGTGTAAGAGATCTGGAAGGGAAACAGGCAGGAGGTAAATGGAAGAAGAGAGCATCTTCATGGTTTTCTGATGGAATGGTCTGTTCCCACTTGGAAGAGGAGAAGGAATCGTGTCCTGGTAAGCTAGCAGAAGACGCCTTAAAGGAGAGTAAAGGAGACTTAATCTGTAGATCCTTTAACTACCTACAAAGATTATCTCCTAGAGACATGGTGTTTACACTGAGGTGTGTAGCAACAGGGCAGATAGTTGGGGATACGGCATTTTTGACCACTCCCTTAAGGTAAAGGCCGGAAGCACAGATTCATTTTCACATGGCAAGTACTTCACCTTGCGACATTCTTCTGAGTGCTATGTGGTCATCTGTGCTCTCAGAATTGTTCTGGTACTTTAAAATGAATTCTGTATATGTTTTATTTATATACTGCTCTTCCTATCTATATATAGATCAAATCTAACTTGGTCCAAAGTAATCTGTTAACTAGAGGTACCCTTCTTTTGCTGGGTGGTTGTGGGTAGTAGTACATTAGCCTCATCTGCTGAACTGCCTTCTTTTGACACAACGTATGTTTTGGTGTATGAGCTCCCTCAGCTGTTTGGTTCAGCCTAGGAAAATTATTGGTGTATAGCTACATCACACCAGGAGCATCTCTGGTAATCATTTCCTCCTCTCCTTTACTGAGTGAGGAGGTAAATGAGTGTACCTATTGGTACGTGAGTACCAGTATTGGTAAATGAGTGACCTAGGACAGGTTTCAAGTCAGTGAAATGGTAAGAAGAAATATGTGTTCTGCCCTTTAGCTGCTACGTTATACTCTGTACTTTTCTTATTAACCCTATGTAAAACTGTACTGCAGTGTGTTCCATTTTTACGCAGTACCAGCCACTGTGTGTAGATTGTTTGCAGAGGAGACACTACATTTTCCATCACTTGTCAATAAAATACTGCGGTATTTAGAAAAGACAATTGGTTTGAGTGCTTAAAAAGCATCAGAATAAGCTTATAAAAGAAAACAGTGGTGGTTGTTTATGTGAATGCCCAAAGTGATCTAAACTTGTTTCTAATTAATTTAACCAAATCAAAGATAACGTGTTTGCCTTTATGTAACCTGTTTGGAAAAATGGCCTTAGTCATTCAGAAGATTCCTTTTCCTCTTGCCTTTCTTAAAACATTGTCAAGTCCTGAGCGTCCAGGGGAGCAAGTGAGCAAGCTGATCTCGCATGACATGGCGCTGCCAGCCTACAGGTCACATCAGTCTTGGTGGTGGAATTGGCACTGAGACTGCAGGGTGCAGAACTGGACAGGAACCAGTCATCTCTGTTCCTTCCATCTCCACACATTTTACGTTAATTCTGACTTGTTAACCTGCACTCTCTGGGCTCAAGGGTCAGCTTCAGTGACAATGTGCGGTTAGCAAAGATCTTGGCTTATTTTGATTCATCCAAAGCTGAATCAAGTCCGTCTAGAAGAATGGTTCTGCAGAGCCGAAGAGGAGGAACATAACCAATTCCTTGGTGAGAGGTTGCAACAAGGAGGTGAACTGCTGCTGCTCTGCAGTCACTCCCACTTTCCACGCATGCAGGCAGATGCCGAGTCTTCTGGGTAGGAAGAAGCCTTGAGGACACGTGTGTTCGGTAGGAAATGAGTGAGGAGGGAGTGTTGTTCTGCAGCATCACTGGGGACAATGACTATTACTAGCCAGGTTGGGGGAGGTCATGCTATAGTGCTTACTCAGCTGCAGTGTTGCAATGGAAACAATTGTATGTTTCTAGCACTACATTACAAGAGCTTGCTCATTCGTAATTGCTCTCTTATCTTACTTCTTGGCCACAGCGATCCAAACTATATTGAGCAAAGCACACAAGCAGTTTCGTCTACCTTCATTATAAAGGTAGGAATACCTGCTTAGTTTTTAGTGAATTGTACTGCTGCTCTAACATTAGTAATGCTGATGGACTTTATTTGTCAGTATTCAGGAAGAGCAATGCTATAAGCACACAGCTTAATTGTGATCATTAACCACACTTACTATTTAGCAGTTATGACAGTGCAAATATTGCTTGTGGTTTTACTGACTCACAGTAAAATTCTCAATATTTGTTCAAAACAACATTAATTTAGTGGAAAATGAGGGAACTGGGTACTTCAGTTCACTCCCTCTTTCCACTCTTGTCTTCAAACAGAAAGAAAAGCTAGTATCAATACAAGAGGTTATCAGAGGCCAAAAGCTGGCCACTCTCTCTGGGAACGGTTGCTCATTCTGTCCCTCTATATCCAATTTTGTTTAGTTTACTGACAGGCTGACCTAGGACAGCAGATTCCTGCAGCACAGGTTTACCAGTGTGGAGAGTCAAATACAGCACGTACAGTTGTGCTCCTGCCGTTGGACAATGTGTGGCATATTAAGACCAAGGCCATTTGTACAGGTATTTCTGGGCGTTTGCCATGGGGATGTTCCCAAAAGGCAGCCTCCTACACTCCCTAGCCGCCTCTCACAAAGTAGTGCAGCACTTTGTACCGGTTGTTATCTGGCCTGTAGCTTCATACCGATGGTGGATTACTGCAGCTTGGCTGAACAGCTGGGTAGAAGTATTATGCAATGCACTGAGCAGAGCCCGGGCAGTACCTCCAGCATACAAAATTGCTGTGTATAATTTCTCAGTAAAATTATCACCTATGTGAATGTGACTGATTTGTACTGGATGTGCTGGAAAAAAAACCATGTACAGCTATGTTGTCCTTCAGGTTGCAGTTAAATTAATAAGTGCTCTGAGAGCTTTTCTGGTTTGTACAAATAAATTCCTGAGCTGAAAGCACTACTTGCCAAACGCTGCTGACAAGCTTCATGTTGGGGTAGATCTGTTCTAGTATATCCCACAATTTTTTTTTTTTTTTTCTTTTTTTTTTTTTTTTTCCAGACACTAGCAGAACTTCAGTGGCTAAATCTGCTGGTAGTTGTTCCTCCTGCCCCAAACCCTTCTCCTGCAGCAACACACTGACCTCAGCCTCCTGCAGCATCAGAAAGCCCTGTGACCCTGTTTAAGGTCAAGGTAAAAGGACTGTTGCCATTTCAAACATATCCTCTCTCCAAATTGAATGCTTTATTGCAGCTAGTACTATTTGTGGCTAGAGGCTATAGATCTGCAGGGGGATTGCTTGATGATAAGCTTCTTGATTTGTCCCTCAACATGGCTGTATTCAGGCATAGTCAAAGCCCCCACTAGAGAGGTATCCACCTGTCCCTCCCTCCTCCATAACCCTTGTTGCAAGGTAACTCCTCCCATGAAGTGCTTTTTAAGGCTTTTACCACCAGTGACATTCTCAAGCCAAGTCTGTGAGAAGGAAGGATACTTCTTAGCCATAAGCTTGCTGATTTTATTGCTGAATGAGATTATTGCTTTAAGTGAAACTGTGAGAAGCAAATGGCACAGGAAGGACTTAGGCTGTGACCTGGCAGCAGCAGACAATGCTAAGGTAGCTTAGTTATCACAGTTATTCCCTTTGCTCTTCCTTCCAGGCAAGGGAAATGTTGATTTGTTCTGGGACTGGGAGAGTTTGCTAGCTAAGAAGGTGAAGGGCTCAAGCAATGTTTTCCGATCTGTCACAGTCACTTCCCACAGTCTCACTTTCTCAGCTCTTGCCCATTGCTGTGCTGCTTCTGTTTCCACTTGCCTTTGGTCCAGGAGGTCAGTTTTGTTTCCCAAGACAATAACTGTTACCTACAAACAAAAGGAAAGGGTGAGCTTTATACAAAAAGCATCCACCACTCACAATGCTTTTAAACAGCAGGCAAGTAGCAACACAATTCAGACCTGTTCTTGAACTTAGCACTGGCACAAGGTAAGCTGTGTGTAGTTTGGAAGATCAGGGTCTGGGATTTGAATTAGTCTCACCTACCTGTGGGCTGGGAGTTGGTTTTAATCATAGGATATGCAGGACTTCCCCTTCTCCCTCTGATTGCTTAAAGGGAGACAATACCCAAGAGAGCCAAAGTTAAACAGACCTATTCTCCATTTACTTGGCAATTGAGCTGCCCTAGACAAATGACAGGAGCATGACGTCTGAGTATGTCAGAGCAGCAGATGCTTGAGTGATGAAAAAATGCAGGCAGCAGAGAAAGCCTGGACCCCACAGCTGTGGATTTTGCCCAGCTTGTTTTTCCTGAGCCCCAACCCGCAATGTAAGTAAAGCCAAACCTGCCAGAAGGCAGCCTGTGCGAGCAGCCCGGGCACGCTGAGCTCCTGTGCCCCTTGCCCAGGCCAGCTGGCCGCCTGCTCCTGCAGGCAGGCTAAGCCATGCGAGGGACCTCAGGGGACAGCCTGCTGTTGCTGACAGGGTCAGGTAAGCACCAGCACCAGCCTCTCCGAAGCAGTTTTGAGAGCAGCTGGTTAGCTAACAAGAGCAGCATGGCTGTATCCGTTCAGACCCTTGGCTGTAAGGATCCATCAAGTGACTTCTATATCACTGAGACAGTACCGTGTGGCTGAGCTCAGTGGCCTGCCCGGTACTTCAGTTCTAGGAAGTGCTGAAGATAGTGCTGACCACTTAAAGTTGCTGCTCCTGGTTATTTTAAGTTAACCATTTTCTAAAGATGTTTTACCAGCATGAGCTCTTAGGGGAAACCATGCCTGTATTTATAGTTCAAGGTCCTTAGTCAAACTCTGGTCTCATCTCTACACTAGTGGTTTGACAAAGATCAAGTGATAAAGTCCTCTCTTGCTGATGATTTGGGGTTTTTGCTGTGGCCACACCTGCTTGCTCTTTCCTGTTCATTAGGCTAACTCCAGGATGTCTTCTGTTTCTTTCCAGCTAGAGATGTTTGTCCTGTTCGTGTGAGGTCTGAGCCTTCCTTTCTTTTCTATAGCAGCCCAGGGTGTTTGGAAAAATGTTTTTTCCCTCTGCAAAGGCTTTGAAAGAAGCTATAATCTTCATATGTATTTACCACATGCTCCAACTGAATTTTACCTATGGTTAAGCTCTGTCAGTACGACAGAACACAACCTCTATTTAGTATAACATTTGGCCGGGCTTTAAGGTACGTGCTGGATGGCCCCCACAGCCAGCAGAGGCAAGGAACCAGCCATCAGTGCTTTCTGTCATCTGCCACACAACAAGGGACTGTGCCACTCAACAAAGTGAAGTTCTGCCAGCTCATAAACAGCATTTGTTGAGATACATCCCTAATTCGGTTAAGGATGCATTCTAGCAGAGCCCAGACTTTAAGTCTGCTGATGCTATCTCAAGGTAGGGGTCCCGATCTCACCTTCTATGCTTAAAAGCCTATTTTATATGGACTAGAAATCACAGGAATAAAACTAATTTATCCAGCTTATTGTGGGCACCACTCTTTCAATTATGTTATCCTCAGTCAAGATCACAACTTAAACCTTTCCCAGAAGATAAGCAAATTGGCTGTTTTCTAAAATACCTGCATGCCACAAGAGAGAAGAGTTCTGGCAGGTAACACAGAAGAGAGGGATGCAGACCCTGTGGGGTTGCGACTCTCTCTCTGCATTACAACATGCTGTAAAATAACATCTTGGGGCCCTCACAAAACACAGTGCCTGGGAAAAGTTTCCTGCTTGTCCACCTTTCCTTGCCCTGCAGGGGAGTTATGATTGACTCCCATATCCCTGATATACGTGACAGTCTGCAGCTCACACCAGCCCTACCAGCTAACATACCTCTCCTATGACTGCACGTTCAGCTGCTGTCAAACTTGGAGCCTGCCTTCCTCCACCACCCTATGTGCTGTCAGTACTAAACAAGTTACATTTTTGAAAACTCTCTCCCTACCATTATCCAATTAATTTTTCATGCATGGTTGTTTTTTTTTTTTTTTAACAGCATAAACCAGACATTTGGAAAGCTGTAGGCTAAAGACATTTAACAGGGAAAACTACTCGAGAATATAAAGATACTGTAGGAAAAGCCATAATGCTAATGCCACATGCAAGTTATATTTGTTTAGCTAAGCTGGAACACTGTCAGCTGAAAACACTAGCTGCTTTCTAAGGGAAAATAGAGCAGTCATTTCACACAATTGAATTGATTCAATATGGTTGTTAAAATACATTAAAGCTGCTTTGCCAATTGACTAATGTCTGGGAGACCCATTGTCAATTACACTAGTTTGTAAGCCATCAAGTACATGAATACAAAACAAACAAAGATAATGCCCTTCGTTATATTATTCTATGCACTTGACTTCCCGTGCACAATACCTAAAAAAACATATGAACCGCACTGCTGTAGACCATATGTTTTATTAGTCATAAGTGTCCTGGCTGGTGCACTCAGCTAACAATTTTAGCTGTAGTAGAGGAAGTAAGGAGAGAAAAAAAAAGCATTCTTTTGCATGACCTACATGGCATGTGAATTAGGCTTCCCAGCATGAGAAAGCTTCCTTTTGCTGGATTGCCCAAGGCTGTGGATACATTCGTTTTCTTTTGTGTGCGAGTTTTACAGAAACAAAATCTATGCTCTGCAACCTTAACTTCCTATCACTGATACAGCAATAAGCCAAGCAGTTAAGGCACTATGCATTTACCTCCTTTTTGTCTCTAAAGACGTCGATCTCCTTTTTGAGCAGTTCAACTCTTTGGAAAGCTTCGAGGCTGGTCACAGCATAGACGAGAACGAAGCCATCAGCGACAGAGAAATAGTGCTTTGGCAATTCTATGCCCTCCTGCAGACCCCTGGTGTCATAAAGCCTTAACTGTTCCTTCACGCCTCGGTCTGTCTCCACCGATGCCAAATACACATCTTCCATTGTGGCACCTTCATCTAAGCCTGTTTTAAAAGAAGCAGGAAAGCTCAGCTGGTGTAAGTACAGCACCACTATAAGAAGTATTTGCAGTACCGCAGAATTTTACTCCACAATAGCTTTCAGTGCATGTTTTCCAGAGTGACTTGACCTGGACTCGACCTTGCCTGACATCCCCATGAAGGGCTATATTCATAGGTCACCACACCAGCTATTTACAATAGTCACACTGCGTAAATATAGCCATCTAATATATGAGAACATGGTTATGCTTGTAAAATTGATCTATACAATGTGCATATTCAGGATAGGATAAGATATACAGCTCTTCCCCCAGGTTTCCCAAACTCCAACCACCCAGTGTACCAATTCTGCAAATTGCTGCAAATGGGTCTGCCCAAACATACCCTTTTGGAAGAACAGCCAAGGAACACCAGATAGTCACGTACTAACATCTTGAGCCTACTTCTTTGCTTCATACTGAGCTGGATCATATGGCAGAAGCAGGAGCCAAAGGAATAATTCTGGAAATGAATGGGTATTGGTGGTACAACTAACCAACAAGTGAAATCAAGCCAGAAAGGGAAGGGGATGTTTGCATGCAAGCAAAGTTGCATGCTATATTTACTCAAATACACAGTGAGCTTTTTCCATCCCTTAGGGATTTAAAATGACTCAGATTTGCTAATGGGAGCAAGCTCATTTACTGCAAGGTAAGAGCATGCATAAGGTAACAAGCTTTCATATATATATATATATATCACTTGCTCCATGGTAACTATCTGCACATTGGCTCTCCTTCCTTCCTCTCCCTGTGGTAAATGTGAGGTAATTCAAGGCAGCTTACTTTGAACTAATTAAAATTATTTTTTCCAAGCCAAACCTGAGAACACATAGATCACCTTAGCTCTGTGTTCCCCCTGGATGCAGGTGCATAAGGTTACAGGTCCCAACAAACTATGTATAGTGTAGCTGGGCCACTTTCAGACTTGGTTTTAAGTATTCATATAAACCCTCTGCAATCCACGTTTTTGCCTCCACTGCACTCCTATATACATGAATTGTTTGCTGTTGCAGGGCTACAATAATGAGTCCTGCATTATTCTCTTTGTCTGCCAAAAAGGGACCATATTACAGCATTGTCTAAGAAAACACAAGGGATTATCTGGCCTGTGAAAATAAGGATTTTGCTATATTCAATGACACTATTCAAAATACTTCACATTGACAAACAAGCTAAAGCATTCCACCCACGCGGATGGTTTTCCATGATGTATGCAGCATTCCTGTGCAAGAAAGTGGCACAAGCTGTTCTTTTTGCCCCTCTCTGTGCAGTCTTCATAGATCAAACTCTTATTAGATTTGCAGTGAATTAATTTATCTTGCCTCCAAATATAGCCATGCTAAAGTGTGGGAGCAAAACTAAGAGCAGAAGGACAAAACAAAGGTTAATAAAAAGAGGAAGCACAAACGCATTCCGTATGGTTGGAGAATGTGTTACAAGGGCATTTTTAAAGACCGAAGTAGGTAACAGCCCTTTCTGGATTTAGCACTGTATTTTTTCTTGCTCTGCCTCGTTGCATTGTGCAGACAAGTCAAGGAAATATCTAGCATCAGTAAATACTACTTTGGCAAGAAGGAATGAACCGTAAGTACCTAAGTTTTCTTTTTAGAAAGCAATGAATAATGTTGTACGGGTTTTTACCATCTAAATGCTGCACTGTAGTTCGACAGTCTTTGATATATCCACACTCTCCTGTGACAGTCTCTTCTTAATGGCATTAAAAGTAGCAGTGAAAATTACGTCTTTTAACATCCTACTTGAAAACGAAGAGGAAAAATTAAGACCTGGGACTTAAGTCAGCACAACAGAGCAACAAATTTTGATGTGAAATGGGGGGGGGGATGGGGACGGACAGGCACTTTGGAGGCAGCTGGAATTTATGCATCAGTATCAGATTCCAGAGATGAAATTTCACCTATGTACATTGGGGGAGGGAGTATATGCAAGCGGATTCCTAAGCAAACACAGATAATTTTTTAGATATACGTGTGTCACCTTATTCTAGGCCCTGCTTCTAAAGCCCAGACCACATGCTAGCCCCATCTTCCTGACAACGATATTTACACTTCTTGTTAGTACCGTCCCATTCAAACACGTGCCAGGCAAGTTGTTGTACGAGCGGCAAAACTAGTCAGGAAAGCCCAGTGTCCTAGGAAGGTGTCTGGCACCATCCCATCCTCCCTGTCATAATGACCCTGGTTCTCCTTTCCTTCACTGGCATCCCCAGGCATCCTCCCGCCTTCGCGGGCAAGGGCAGCTTGTGCTGGGGAGTTACTGCCCTGCAAACTGCTGCCAGCTCAAGCAGGTTTTCCTTGGAGGAGAGCATTATCATGGGCCTTTTCTCTCTTTCCTGCTACCAGTTTTTTTCTAAATTTACAGAAACATGTTTTGAGATATCTACTGCTGTGACACAGATGAATGGGCAGATGGAACCAGCTTTCAGGTTCAGAAGCTATGGGGGGAAAGGGGAACTAACAAGACTGAACAATCTCATGGTTTCTTTGGAAACTAAAGATGAAAAAAAGGGAGGGAAAGGAGGAATAGAAAGGAGATTGATGCTGTTCTCTAGTGCCTACTTAGCTGGTGCAAGTCTTGGGAGAGGCAGAAAGGTCTTTGTCTACGTTACCGACTGCTGCCACAGAGGAACTGCAAGGGGAAGCCTCAGTCATAAATTGGATGGTGTTTCAACCCCTAGTGGTTTCCCAAAGAGGAAAAGAAAAGGCTCAATATACTAATGAATACTGCACACTCAGACTAGGCAAAGCAGAAATATTGCAAATACCAAAATAAAGCAAGAATTCAAGATAGATGGAATTTCAGAATTTCCCAAGGGACTCTTGAATACAAAGGCAGTGCAAATTTTGTGTCTTCTTGAGTCCTTCTGAAGATCTCCTGTGTAATCTCCCTCTTTCCAGCAGGAATTTAGCAAAGAGCTCCTAAAGCCTGCTACTCCTTGTGTTTGTAAACTGCAGGATAACAGGTTTTGCTTACTTAGATCTCAAATGACAGCGTATCGGAGAAGAGCTGGACAGGCCTCAACGGGAGCTGATCTCTTTAGATTTAGCTGCTAGTTAAGTACTGGTCCCACCAACCAGTAGCCATGGTTGTGACACTCAGTTGCACACATTCAGCTCCATTTTCATCTATTTCTAAAATGCAAAGCTGACTGCAGGTCTATCAGGAGGTGGTTTGATTTAAGAAACAAAGGTGCAAGAATGCATAATTTGGTTAATTAATTTCCACATCTTTGGAGCTGTGAAAGCCAAAACCCCAAATCCCTCCAGCTGAGACCAAGCGAGGCAAATTCTCTCGTTATGAGTTCTAGCACAGTAATATATGGAGTTATCATTTCTAGCTAGCAAGGTGATTTGAAGTAACTGCTTATGAATAACCTGACCATACCAGCTATTTACACAGCCAGGAGGCAGAGATAAGGAAAACCGTGTTTTCTACAGGAAGAGTTCTCATCTCCTGTTGAGCTGATAAGCTGTACTGGGTTTGTGTGGCAAGGTTTTGGTAGGGGGGGGGGGAGGGGGGGAGCGTTACAGGGGTGGCTTCTGTGAGAAGCTGCTAGAAGCTTCCTCTATGTCTGACAGAGCCAGTGCCAGCCGGCTCCAAGATGGACCCGCCACTGGCCAAGGCCAAGCCCATCAGCGACAGTGGTAGAGCCTCTGGGATAATGTATTTAAGAAGGGGAAAAAAAGTTGCTGTGGGCATAGAAACTGCAGCTGGAGACAGGAGTCAGAATGTGTAAGAGAAACAGCCCTGCAGACACCAAGGTCAGTGAAGAAGGAGGGGGAGGAGATGCTCCAGGCACCGGAGCAGAGATTCCCCTGCAGCCCCTGGTGGGGAAGACCATGGTGAGGTAGGCTGTGCCCCTGCAGCCCATGGGGGTCCACGGTGGAGCAGATACCCACCAGATATCTGTGGAGGACCCCACACCAGAGCAGGTGGGTTCCCAAAGGAGGCTGTGACCCCGTGGGAAGCCCACGCTGGAGCAGGGTCCTGGCAGGACCTGCGGACCCGTGGAGAGAGGAGCCCACACTGGAGCAGGTTTTCTGGCAGGACTTGTGACCCCGTGGGGGACCCATGCTGGAGCAGTCTGTTCCTGAAGGACTGTAGCCTGTGGAAGGGACCCACACTGGAGCAGTTCGTGGAAGACTGTCTCCTATGGGAAGGACCCCATGCTGGAGCAGGGGAAGAGTGTGATGAGTCCTGCCCCTGAGGAGGAAGGAGCGGCAGAGACAACATGTGATGAACTGACTGCAGCCCCCATTCCCCATCCCCCTGTGCTGCTTGGGGGGCGTAGGTAGAGAATCCAGGAGTGAAGCTGTGCCCGGGAAGAAGGGAGGGGTGGGGGGAAGGTGTTGTGAGATTTGGTTTTATTTCTCTTTACCCTACTCTAGTTGATTGGCAATAAATTAAGTTAATTTTCCGTAAGTCAAAAGTTTTGTAGTCCGTAAGTTTTGCCCGTGATGGTAATTGGTTGAGTGATCTCTTCTTGTCCTTATCAACCCATGAGCCTTTTGCTGTATTTTCTCTCCCCTGTCCAGCTGAGGAAGGGAATGATAGAGTGGCTTTGGTGGGCACCTGGCATCTAGCCAGGGTCAACCCACCACATAAGCTTTACCATAGGTTCAGGGGCCAGAGATATTTTAAAGGCAGATGGAAGACTCCTTTCTGCACCGTCACTGAACAGGGACACTGTTTAAGGAAAAATACCTATCCTCTTTACAGACATGTCCCATGCCAAAGTTAAGCCAGCAGCTCTCCTGTTAGTCCTCTCAAGAGAGCTAAGGCCAAGCAGTGCCAGGTACCACAGGTATTTAGTGGGACAATCTTCTACTGCCAGTCAAGGACCCATTTCATGACTGAGGAGGAAAGACTGTCCCCTCTTTCTTCCTTTCTTCAGGAGTGCAAGAGAAGGTGAAGGATTTGGACAAAAACAACACTGAAGCCACAAAAAGAGAGATCATCCCAGGTACCAGGCAACTGTATACATATGTGCAAGCCTTAACAACTATTTGGCCTGACCTATAGCAATAAAATCCCTACGTGACTCAAAGCTAAATCTGCACCCGTTTCAGACATCTCCTTTCAGGTTTTGTCTGATTCCTCATATCAGTTTAGCCAGAGAGGCTGCTATGCAATACGTACATTACTTTACACGACTCTGACAGTGTCTCTCATCTTTTTGCCCTCTCTCATCCTAGTGCCCAAGGCAAACAGCCCCTCTTGCAGTTTTAAAGCCTAGCACAAAACCCAGTACCACACGTTGTTGCTCACAGGTTCTAGGGACACAGATATTTCTTTTTGGGGGGTATTCCTCCATCCCAAGTACTCTCTCCTCTTTGACTTCAAGCAATCTTAGTGCCTTTGCAAGAGTGCTAGCTGCTGACCATGTAAGCAACGGCTGCACTTAGGGACTTCATCCATGACAAGCCAGGGAGAACTGAAGGTGCACATTTTCCTAGGAAAAGAAACACTGTGCAACTGGGCTTACAGCACCATCGCTAAGCCCACAGCCAGAAGCATGGGCTCAAAGCCAAGGGCTTTATATAACAGCATGAAACCTCCAAGGACACTAATCACTTCCCTGATAGCAGCTGTTCCACTACTTTGTACAGGAAAGTCAACAGGAGGCACGTGAGTACTGACATAGACTCATGGCTGATTTACAACCAGGAGGAGACCCCCATGTCAGTGGCTAGGACACCCCGGAGGATGGCACCAGACCTTGTGCTTTGAGCCTACAACCAAGTTTGAGCATGCTTCTTGTCACTGGGAGGAGGATGGGGATGCCGTCAGGAATGGAGAGACTCCGTGCGTTAGCTTGGCAGTCCTCCCCACGGCTCCCTAGCCCTCGGACCAGCCGCAGAGCTGCTCCTGATGTCAGTCAGGAAGCACAGGTTTTGAAACAGCTTGTGTCCATGTTGCCATACCCGGTGAGCTGCCTTGCTGGTTGGCTCTGAACAGACAGGCTTTCAGCAAACACACTAGTCCTTTTTGCCTCCTGCCAAAGAGGCCAGCAGCCAAGATGTACATGTCAGCTTTCTGGAGCTTGCAAGCTTTAGGAAAGGAGGATCAAGATTCAGTAATCATGTTTTAAGTGTGGATGGGCCACCCCTGCAACGGTAGCATCAGCAACGTCTCTGTGCAGTTTAAGGCAGCTCAGCTAAGAGGCAATCAAAGACTTGCCATTCCTCAAACTCTGTCCTTGCCCAGTGAGACCCTCACAGTGGTGTCCTGCCTCTGCAGTTTAAGGGTTAAATCAATACAGATTGGAGCAGTAGCTAAAGATCTTCTGGGAACCATTTTCACCAGCCTATACTTCAGGCACTCTCTGCCAGAACTGCCTGTGGGCTGAGGAAGCAGCAGGGAGGACAGTGACCACTCAGCAGGACAGCCAGAAACACCAACCTATCAGTCCATCCCCCAGAACGTGCCTGATGGCACACACGGGTGATACCAAACGTGCTGGGCCATAGCCGCTCATCCCTTGGGGCTGCTGTGGCTCCATATGAGCTCTCTCCATACGCTGATCTTGACTCTGCTAGTTGCCCTCTTTCTCCAAATGTCTTGGGAATAAGATTTGACCAAAATCATAGAGAACAGGAGACTACTTTCTTCCTTCTCCCCTTGCACTGCACCCCCCCCCCCCCCCTATCAGCTGCTCCCTCCCTTACTGTTAACTCCAAAAAATAAGAGCAGGGCTGCAGGAAAGAAAAACTGATCTTTTTAAGGGGTGGGGGTGGGAAGTCCGCGTTGCACAGTGGCCGAGCTAGAGCGGAGCATTCGGGAGCGACGGAGGGACACCCACAGCTAAACCCCGGGCACGAGGCCTCCCGCCAGTTATGTCAGCTAGTATCCATGACGTTGTATAATCGTGTACATGGCTGGCTCCATAAATAGCTCCTCCGATCAGCAACACCCGAATATCCTTCCTGCCTGGCTCACTAATAGGAGCTTGGGGCAGGAAGTAATGCAATGCAATACGATTTAAGTAACGTGGCCTTGCTCATGCTGCTCGGGTGTCTCTGACAATCACCCAGGCCAGTGCAGAGGAGAAGCAGGTCGGTAGCAAAGGGAAAAACCTTCAGCCTGCAGGTTTTGCAACCTTCTCGCTGAAAGCTACACGGGACTACGTGCATAGGGCTCGGTAGGATGCTGGAAACAGATGTTGCTGCAACATTAGAGGAAATCCTCCGTTTAGACAAGGGTATTAGCATGCAGTTCTATATCACGCTTTGCCAGCAAATTCCTCCCATCCCCACATTTCAAAGGCGTAGTGCCTGCAAAACACCATTCTAGAAATCCTAGGGTTTATCCAGTAACTTATCCCAACATTTAATTTACCGGCCCAAGGAAAAGATACAAACTGACTAGACGTCTTTGGTCAAAGCCCTGAGATTCACCCCTGGTGCCACCCCTTGTTTCTGGGTGAGGCACGAATAATTTGTCAGCCTGCCGATCGTTGCCCTTCCTCTCAAAGCCAAGTCACGTGGAAAAAGAGGGAAACAAGCCGGCTTTGCCTTCGTTCCCTTTCTTTTGTGCACAGCAAGTCTCAGACATCCCATGCTCCTCTCTGAAGTCCATTTTCCAAAGGAGGATTTCTTTTGAGACCCGAGAAGCTTGGCCCTTGAAGTTCAGTACAGAACGTGGGCCTAAAGCTGAGCTGTTTTTCTTTCCAGTGCTTTGATTAAATATTAGCCAAAACCAAGCAAAATAAAGCTTTAAGAAGACGGAACAAAAGTCTAAACAGTCTCTCCACTCATCATGTGACATCTATTTATTTTTCAGGCATCTACAGCATCTTTCAGGGAATGAGATATTATGTAAATAGGCAGCAAGCACATCACCTGCTTCCTGTGTTTGTTTCTTTGTAAACATTCACCTATTTTGTAACTGGGAGCATCACGGAAAGGGTTCTTCTCCGAGCCTCTTTTAAAAATCGGTAAGTAAGGGACTACAGATTTCAAGAACTGCCCAGAGATGCAACAAAACCACATTAATTTCTTCCTTCACCTCAGTGCAGTTTGCGGTCCTTGGTTACTGGGTTTTTTTGGGCCCACACATAACAAGATGCTGGAAAAGGAAACAATCCCCTTCCCCCCACCAAAAGTAAAAATATCTCACCAACGGTATGCTTTCCATAGAGAAGCTGCTCCAAAATCGCAGTCTTTCCCACCGAGGCCATTCCACAAACCACCACCTTGTAGCCCTTTCCCATCTTTCCCGAGAGGGCCGAGTCAGCAGGCGAGCCCTGTGCAGACACAGGAGTCTGTGAGCCCGGTGCGGTGGCAGAGCTCGGCACCAGACAGAAGCGAAGCCCACGAAAAGGCGAGAGGCAAAACGCGACGCAGCGGGTGACTCGCAGGCACAGCTCCCTCCCAGGCGCTCACCAGCGACCGATATTTTTAGGACTAGGGTTTCCTCCCACACCATGTTTTAAGGTTTTAGGCTGCTGCCACTGGTGCCGATGCTTGCCCGCAGCCTCGACGCTTGCCCCGTCGGGCTCGGGGAGACTGTTTGTGAGCCCTGAAGTGTGCAAACCCTCTGGGGCAGGGGCCGTGTTTGTCGGCGTGTGCGTACACTGCAAGACTTGCGTTACCGGGCTTCGTGGTTTTGCTGCGGGCCCGGCGGTAGCTGGTGGTATCAGGACGGCTTCTGGAAACGCGACAAAATGGCGGTTCCTTCCCTCTTATTTCACACACGGAAAGTTCCTAGCTTTGACGGACCAGGTGACAGAAAACAGGAGGGTTAAAAGCAGAAGCACAGGAAAGCAAATGCAAAAGCAGGTTTTCCGGTCTGCTTTAAACCCGTGTGGACGGGTGGGGGTTCGTTTTAGCGGGAGGCCTCCAGAAGCCAGGGGCAGCTCCCTCTGCCAGCGGGGCCAGGGCAGGGCGGCAGGCCCGAACTCCCCGTCGGCAGTCCGGAGCGGTATGCGGGCCGCAGAGTACCTTTTCGGGACCGGGAGGGGCTGGCCTCGTCCTCCGCCGATTCCAGTTTAACCGGGTAACGCCTCACACGCCGGGGCGCTCTGCAAAGCATACGCTAAAATAACGGAGAGGTCCCCCCGCCGCCGCAGAGAGGCCAACTCCCCCCCCCGGGGGACACCC